ACAATTGGCAAACCCTCTTTTCAACAACTTACATAAGATAAGTTTTTTAATTTAGTTGTAAGCTCTAGTGGATAAGGTCAACTCAAGCCTGAGGTGAGTCCCTTCATCAATTATACTTCAGATGTAGAAAAAATAATCAGAAACGACAAAAACAGCAAAATACATCTTACAATGCTTTTTAGCAGTAAAGGGATTATAAGGAAGACAAAAAATCCAAGGATTCAAGACGAAGATAAATAAAGAGGAACTATAGAAAAGAAAAAAAAATCAAGTTCTGTCTATGCACTAAGAAATGAGTACATTTGTTAATTAAAAAGTCACTTTATTTATTTGTAAAAAGCATATTAATTAATTGAAAATTTATATTGATTATTTTTAAAAAGTACTTTTAATTACTTAATTTTCTTATTTCTATGTATTCTTTTATTTATTTATGTTTCTGCAGATACGGTGTGCATATAATCTCTGAACTCTATCGTAAGTGTTATATAAATATAAAATAAATATAAGCAAAATAAATTAATAAATAATAATAAAAAAAAACTACCATTTAAATTACACGTTATACTCAATATTTAAAATAAAAGCAGACTAACCCGATGAACACTATTTAAAAAAAAAATATTTTATCGTCCATTTGAACTGTTACCCAAGGGTGCCCATTCCCCTTCTCCCAAGGTGGATGACGAAAAACCTAACTCCTCTTCTCCCAAGACATTTTGTTATTCATCTTTTCTTAAAAACGAAGCAAGCTAGGGTAGAATTAGAACAATCGTAGATCATATACAATTACACTTGCTGTGGCCTGTTCCAAGTTTTCCTCTGCTCCCTTTGTCCGAAAATTAATAACTCTGTCGAAATGTGTCCCCCTCGAAAATTCGAAAACCCATCTCAATTGTGACCCCCTCAAAAATTTTGATGGCGCAACTTGCGCCATGAAATCGCCTTCTGGGCACCCCTGCTGTTACATCCCCCAGTTTTGCCGCCTGGACAGTGTTGCCACGATACGATATTCATTCTCACGCGATCTTTAACGCTTGTGTTTCGTTCCAGTTAGTTTAAGTTGGTAAAAAATAATACAATCTTAATTAGGGAATACATGTAAATTACAGTTCTGCAATTTGAGCAACGAGTAGTGCAATTAAATGAACAGTTGTATAGTTAGTGAAATGGGTGTTGGTCTGCTGTTAGGTAGTCCGGGGAAATCCCCTAGTATAATTTTAAAAAAAACGAAGCTAATCTGGAGGTTCGATTCCAAAGACACCATTAATCCTACAAGCCCTTCTCTGCACTTATTCCGTCCAAACTATAATCTTCGAAGTCGGGCTTGAAGCAATATTCTCATGTACGTTTCGGTCGACTCCGATGACGCTTGCCCGATGGATTAACACTGATTATACCTTTATAGATTAGTTCGTTATCAAGGCCAAACTACTTTTTATCAACTTAAACTAAATGGAACGAACCACAAGTATTAAAGATCGCCTGAGAGTGAATCCTCTACAAATATTTACCTCAATATTATTTACAGGATCCTATTTGAGCGATCAAGCGTTGTATAGCTTTCTAAATTACACCGTTTTCGAATTCTTCTTCGAAAATAATATTCCATGGAATATTTTATTTTCAAAATATTAAGACCTTGTTATCTTATTCATGTAGGCGAAAACATTTTGCATTCCTAAAGACTACAAGGAGTGTGATTGTTGAATAAATTTTGTGTTACTCTCCTATTATTCCATAAATATTTATGTGTGTAGAATATTTGTGTAAAAATAAATTCAAAATCCTGTTTAATATTTGCCATCCTGTCCAAAATTTACTGACATAGAGCTGATTGTGGTTCAGGAAGTTCGGAGTCGCACAACATTGCACCATCCACACCGTTCGCTCAGTTCTTAGCTGTTAGTCCACTTTTTTTGGTTTTGCTCAGCCTATTGAAGACTCGGCTTTAGATGTTGTTTCATGTTGATGTATTTTTATGTGCATAATTTTTTTATTAAATGAAATCACTTCATCTGGAATTAAAAATAATTATTTACTTCACAAAGCATTTAAAAAAATTAATATATAACAGTGTTAGTATCCATTACATACTAAATGACCTTCAATGATCCTTAGCGCCTTCATATCTCTTAGATGATGCTGTACAAAGTATATATTTTTTTTTCACGATAAAATGAATATGTATTTTGATGGAACTCGTTTATCTGAAGCGATCCCTGATGAATGTAGTAGGCCACGGGACGGGCATGGATTTGGCTGAAGGGAGGATGGCTTGGCAGATACGGTCAAAAACTAATCCGGAATGAAATATCGATTGGTGCCTAATGAGTTTTGAAAGTTGTGCTCATAAATATCTTGCCCTGTGATTTAGCGGCGGCTCGGTTTAGCCGTACAAACACATTACTCTCCCTCCTCTCGTTCCGTTCTTCTCTCTTCTTTCGCTTACATTTTCTGCATAAAAGTATATCACTGATATTTCAATCTATTCTATTTTTTATGGTATTCTGAAAACCTGTGAATCATTAACATCAGCATCATGATGTAATTATGTAAATAATGTTTTAATATTAATTATTTTGCAAAGGAACTTAATTAATTTTACTATATTAATTAATCGTTATTGATTAATAAATATTAAAACAGAAAAGAAAATAATTTGTTAAAAAAAAAACTAGGTAATAGTGTATGTGGCTGTCAACATAAAAACAAGAAATGGTAGGAACTACTTATGTGAATCTAATAATTTATGCCGCTTACATATTATATATTACACATGACGAGCTGTTTATGTTTTTGTGTATGATAGCAATATTTAGGAAAAACAAAATGCAAGTGAAAATAGGAGGCAGGTTTAAGGCGATCAATAGTTTTTATTTGCAGTTGTAAATTACTCCTTTTTATAAACATAAATTTACTCAATAATTACAATCCTTGCATTCCTTATGAATGCAAAATGTTTCCACTTTTAAGAAAAAGAGAAAAGTGCCTTTATGGTTTTGAAAATAAAATATTATGTGGAATATTTGTCCCGAAGAAGGATTAGAAAAACTTGCAATTTATTTTTTTATTTTATGCAATTTGCAGCTGCGCATCTAGCAAATTTGTTGTATTTTTGTTGTCTTGGGGTAATTGCTTGATTTGTATTATGTTGATGTTTTTATTGATGTAGTAGGTCTCTTGGCCATTTTCTTCTTAATCTTCGTTGCTCAGGTAACAGGGAGCAGGAGATAGACAAAACCAGAGGATTGGAGTGATTTTGGGTTGAAGAATGAAATGTAGTGTATTTGTCGTGGATGTAAGATTTTATTGTTGGGTTGTTTAAGTTGTTATTTATAGTAGTGTTTGAAATGTACCACGGTGCGTTAACAATTTTTCGTAAACTTTTTGATTGTACTATTTGTATTTTTTTTATGTTTGTTTGTTTTGCTGAACCCCAAAGTTCTGCCCCATATGTCCATATTGGTCTCTGTAAGGTGTTGTAGATAAGTCGCTTGTTTCGTAAGTTAAGTGAAGATCTGTAGTCCAGAAGATGTGAAAGTTGGCTATATCGTCTGGTAAGTTCTTGTCTTTTTAATTTCGTATGTATGTTCCAAGTAAGTCTTTTGTCTAAGTAGAGTCCAAGGTACCGTACATAGTTCTTTGAAGGCACTGGATTATTGGCAATCGTTATGGGTGGACATGAAGTTTTTCCTAAGAGAGAAACTAATGTGGGTGGATTTTGTACTATTGCAATTTATAAAACTTGATTGTTGTAACATAATTCTACAAATAATATCCACCTACCTGCGTGGCGCTATAACCCTGTCTTGAGGCGGGCATTGGCCTCCTCAATGAGCTACCGCCATTCGGCCCGATTTAGTGCTGCCGCGCTCCAGCTTTTGATCCGTAGCTCCATGCGTCCGCTGCCACACCATCAACCCATCGAAGCCTTGGCCTTCCAGGTCGACCTGTACCATGAAGGGCGGTGTCCACCAATTTTCTAGGAATTTCTTTCGCTTTCATCCTTGCGACAAGGCCAGCCCAACTGATCCTCCCCAGTTTTATAAACTTTACAACGTCCATATCTCCGTTAAGGTCGTAAAGCTCCATGTTCCCCCTAGTCCTCCATCCATCTCCATCTATCAGTGGGCCAACTATACGCCGTAATATTTTTCTTGCACAAATAAAATACCTGTAAATAATATCTGAAGGTATTCAGGCACTCTTCAATACTCGAAACACGCCCTGATGATGACCCACATGTTTTGGATGAAACGTCGTCACCAATGAAAACTTCATAATGACTGCGTCCTGAATATTTATCAACCATGATATGTAGAACAATCGATAAACTTCCTTCAATAGTTTTGTAAATAATATCGAGGTATAACCTTTAGAGAGTATGAAAAGAACATGGAATGTTATTGAGCTTGATAACGACCTAATCTATAAAGGAATAATCAGTGGTAATCCGTCATCGGAGTCGACCGAAACGTAGATGAGAAGATTGTTTCAATCACGACTTTAATGATTATGGTTTGAACGGAATAAGTGCTGAGAAAGACTTATTGGATTAACGGTGTCTTTGAGTTCCAATCTTCGGATTAGCTTTGCTATTTTTTTATAATATATAGATATTGTATATACTGTAGTATTATGCATATAGCATTGTAATTTCGTACCACTAATTAAGCGATGATAGAAAAATTATTTAATTTTTTGAAAATTGATTTTGTTTAAATATACCTCTAGAAGGAGAAGCTTTACAGAGATTTTTGCCATCTCTCATCTTACTATATAAATTATTGTTAATTTATTAAATAATGACTATATTGGTTTTCATTATTTTCGCTCTTGAAATATTTATTATAAATTTCGAACCTTTTCCTCATCGTAATTCCTGACAGTAATTAAATGAAGTCCTTTTGTCCTATAGAACAAAGAAGTGAGAGATCCTATTTCGATACGCAGTCCTCAATGGTTTTAATAATCCTAAATCTTATCAGATAGCATTCATGAAGGGAACCAATTACAAAAGTCATTTACCTCCTGCTTGTACAAAAGTACCAGTGCCTCTTCCAAACTTGATTAGACTCCCGTTGACGCAGGTACACTTCAAGAGCTAGTTGGGTAATACTTAACTCAAGTTAAAGTAATCTACTTAATTTAATTTAGTTTCACTTCTCTTTGGAGATAAAGTGGTTCCAATCAAGGTAACATCCAACTCCAATCAGCTCCCGGGAAGGGATGAATCAACTAATAGGGACACAACTGAATTGAAGCAGAATTGTCAATATATTTCCTTTATGATATACTATTACTACTACATGAAATAAACTAATAACACTTTAGCTTTGGTCTTTTATTGTATTGTGATTGGTAAGTTTTATATTTATAAACATATATCTTTAAACATAAATAGCACACTTATGTATTAATATAAAAGAGCGAAATCTTACAAGAGATATAAATTAATTGTTAAGATATGATTGGAGGATGCCCCAAGTTTTTAATATCCGAAATAGTGGCAAGGAACTTACTAGTCACTGTTTCTCGAATCAAGATATCATTGAGACCGATAAAAATCACATATAGTCAGTCTAACTACTGCTCTTATACTGCGCTTATATCATCAGTAAAAAATAAAAAGGTGATCTAATGGAGTCATACAAAGCATCTTAATACATACTTAGTGATTGCTATACATGATATATGTTCAGATATAAAAGGGTGATTTACTGACTTTGAGTTTGGAATCTTCCAATCATATTAATTAACTTATGACTCTAACTTTTTGTTTATATGAGTGGCTTCTTATCAAATACGGACATCTGTCTTCTCCAGAAAGTGAAGAAAAAGGCAATTATTGTTTTCTACCTTCAACTCAAACTGTTCCTGATGATTTTATTTAAGGTTGTTCAAATTGAGTAATAAAAATAAATCATTGGATTTAATAAGTCATTGGTTTAAATTTATGTTACGTTATGAAAATTGGCTTTTTCTCAACATTTTAAAAATGACAGATGCCCGTTACTGATTTGAGGCCACTCATATGTATTACAATTATTCCTCTTATTTATTATAATAATTAGTCATAAAGGAAGTATTAATAGTAAGGAAGTATTACGTGTTCTTGTATGTATTGGATTGGCCGGAAAATAATGCAAAATGTTGGGTATTCTTTAAAATACCCCTTAGTATAACAAACTGTTTACGTTTAATGGATTATTTATTTGTATGAATGTCAAAACCTATTAATCCTCTTCCAAACTAGTGGATCCAGCCGGGGGACGCTCCTCCCCTGGAAGCTGGAAAAAAAAATTCAAAAAAAATCTATAAAGCATTTATTTAAAGAAATAAGAAATATAGGGAAAATTCATCCTGTGGGCGGGGTGGCCGAATGGGCTAACGCGTTGTGCACAGCACCGCCGTTGCCCGGCAATCTGATATATGACAAATGTGTTATAAAAATAGTCACGAGTTCGCGTCCCGGTGCCAAGGTACCTTTTAAATCCTCGTCCACATCCCCTGGCCCTGGAAAACCCCGGATAGCCTTAACGCCGAGGAAAGGTAGAACCCTCCCCCTCCCCAAAAAAAACGATGAATTTCCTAGTAATAAATAAATCCTAAATAATTCTAATAATAATAAAAAAATTCACGGCACTTTAATTATTTATTTTAGTTAAATAAATAATTAATTTTAACATTCGTAATAGACAAAAGTTAGTGACGAAAAACATGTAAATTTAATATATTAGACTAGAACAACATAGAGTAATTAATTATTCCAAATAATATGTTGTACCATCTATGATTTTTACTTTCAGTTACTACCAGCTAGTATTTTAATACAAGTATTTATAAATCAGTACAAGTATTTTAATAGTAGTATTACTTTATTACGGTCGCTAATAACTAAGGCGTTTTGAGCCTAAAACATCAAATGATGAAAAGATATATTCCAAGTCTCTTGTACGCAAGATATTAAAATATCCCATACCATTTTGAGGTCAACTGCATAATGTTTTTTATAAATGATTTGTAACCGATTGAATAGACTTTAATTTAATGTAAAAGACCAACCATATCTTCAAATTTTAGATACTGTAATTTTCTAGGTTTTTCCCCATTAACCAAACAAGTCAGCAAATTCCCCAATACACCATATTCTTATTAGATATATTTTATAGTTATCTATTTATTTTATAGATATTATTAATTTATATGCTTTTCAAATGCTCCTTATTCTTTGATTGTAAAGGAAGGACCTCAAAGAATTGAACCAAAATTGACATACATGGAAGTCGTTTAAGTCCATAACACTCGCTCTAGTTGGAAAGATCCGTAAAAGTACCGTTGAGAAGCCATCTTTCCACTTAGGGGTTATAGGCAATTATTTCCATTTGTCCTTTACTAGTGGAATAGGACAGTGCAGAAATATAGACCGAACGGAGCAGAATACTTTCCATCGCTACGTGACTTGGACCCAGCTGCCCCTCGATATAACACTGTCCATTGCAGCTTAGGGCACAGTCATGTTCTTGCTCTTCCTCATCTTGGCCGGTGCTGTAACTGCCTATCCCCGGAAGGAGTCCTCCAGTAAGATGTTCCAATTGTCCTCCATCTAATCTTATGTTTCTGTTATCCTATATTGTTATTCCATAATAGCTTTACTGAAACCTAATATCATATGTCTAGGCTGTAACATATTTTTTCTTAATTATTTATTCGTATATAATTTGTTTTATATAAATTTTATTGTGAGGTATAAACTTTTGAATACTTATAGGAATTAGTAATTCTCAACTACTACCTATTCAATGCATGACTTCATTCTTTGTTTTCTTAAAATGATAATCAAATCGTCTAACATTATTATTCCCATTACAATTCTTCTGCTTTAAATTTTGATATCGAGGGTAGTCAGAACAAACGTTATCAATATTTTTTCACTGTTAATGGACTCTATAAAAGCTTATTATGTGACATGGAATATATGAGCATTCCAGTTGACAGAATGAAATATTAAATATAGGGAAGTTATTTTAACTGCAATTTGAACATTTTTTATTATTTATTTTAGTGATATTTCTAATAGAACATTCATAGCTTTACTCACTATTCTTTTTTTAACGCTGCAATCACCTAATCTGAAATCAACTTATTCACTCTCTGCACAGATATTATAATTTTTCCAATTAGAAATAACTGTAAAATGACTCAAAAATGTTGAAATTACTGTTAGGCATTCTGTCAGCGGAAAGGTTCATATTATACAATATGCATGCTAAAGATTAGAGGAAATTTTCATCTATACTCCAAAAATGTCTTAATGTATTTTGTCTATATTCTATAATTTTCTTATTAAATATGTATATTTATATGAAGAAAAAAAATGTCTTGGCTATCTTGCAATAAAAATATTCATTTTCTTCATTCGAACATGAGCTTCAGTTATGGAATTTATCTATCAGAGATTTACACATAATAATGATTATTAGATACCCACAATCTGTCCAAGAAACCATACAATGTATAATGGGTGATAAATAGCCAGGACGTAGTCATTATACAATTTTTTTATTTGTGCCAACGTTTCAAGCCAAACATGTGGGTCATCTTCAGAGCGTGGTTCGAGCACTGAATACTTGAAAGCCTTCAGTGCTCGAACCACTCCCTGAAGATGACCCACATGTTTGGCTTGAAACGTTGGCACAAATAAAAAAAATTGTATAATGACTGTGTCCTGGCTATTTATCACCCGTGATATGTAGAACCGTCGACTATCTTACTTCAACAATTATAAAATTTATAGTAATTACTTTACTATTTTATTATGTTTCAAATATTCCCTGATCGAAAATTGAAAATTTGTAAAATTATTTATGAATAACATTGCTATTTTTCAAAAGTTATCAATTAAATCATTTTTAATATTTTTAAATCAAACTATATATGAGATTTTTGGCTCCTCAAAACTGTAATATACCGAAAGGTATTGTTTTTATATAATATAATATTCTGCCACATATTTGAATTATTCTTCTCTGTCTCCATAAAGACTAAATTTATCTAAATTTTTTAAAATCTTTTGATATTTTATAACTTTTTTGGGGAAGCGGTTATTTTATTTTACTTTGCTCAAGTATAACTTTCTACTCTCTGCGCCAATATTAAATCAATAGTTTTCATTTCGTTATATTTTTCCAACTTATATACATTATCATATATACTTATATCATTATATACATGTCATGGAAGGAAATATGAAAATCATTTTCATTTGTAATTCCAGATCTAATCTCAGTTTTGATTGATTTTTTCATTGGATTTATTAATTTGTAACGATTCTAACAGGTTTTTAAATTAAATTATTATGTCTTAAGATTAAATGAAATTAATACAAATTATTCATAGTTGAAGTTCAATACAAAATTGTCATTTATAAAATCGACTAATTGGCATAATTAATTTTTCAATTTCTAAACAGGTATGAGGAAAGAAGAATCTCCTCTGACTCCTGCCAAGGCTGTGTCTTTCCTCTGCGACTTAATTTTGAAGATGGTGGAGAACTCAGACGATTACCTGAAAGTTCTAGTTGATGCTACAACCGTTCTTGTCAATTCTGTTACCGCATCAATTGATGTTTATAAGTTTTTCGCAGAATTAGCGAGGAAAAGAGAAAAACAAAACGAGTACAGAAACCTGATTTCTTACCTTACATGACCATATTAGACTTATGTTGATTCTGTTTTGAGCAACACTTTTTAGAGTCTGTTCAGAAATTTGATAGTTGATTTATTTTAATTTCCTCTTATTTTTTTTTTTTAAAATAGTTTCATCCATGTAAACAATTTCATTTTTATAATAAATGTCAAATATCCTTCATCATGTATGAATTATACTTTTTCTATGATGTACGAGCTTTAATAAAAAATATTTAATAATTAATAAATTAAATGATTTGATAATTATAAGATTCCAAAACAAAGGCTTATGTATCTCATTAGCTATAACTAAACTATGCAGCCACCTCTTTCCCTATTCAGTTACCATCAACAATGAAATACATAACATTACATGAATACACAAATTATAACCTCTAGGGTTTAATAAAGAAGACGCAATGGCGGAGCACGTTAGAACGAAGTTTTCACCGGAGTTCCCGGTTCGGAACTGTACGGGTTGGATTACCATTTGAAGCAGTCAATATTTATTTCTCTTTGATCTCTAAAAATGAATCTTGACACTCTGTTCAGTAAGCGATGATAACCTTAAGGTTGGCTGAATAGACCACATGGCCTACTAACACGACTAATTCTCCCCACCGTTAACAATAACATTTCCAGTTTAGTTTAATAAAAAGTAAGGAACATACGAGGAATAGAAATGAAGGCGGAGTGATAAAATGAAAGATGTATATTGGTCACACATATTAGTGTGTTCTGGTAAAAATCGTAATATATGAATGGATGTTATTCGATGACCAGAGTCATTCACATGTAAGGTCTACCCATGGTACTATAGCTGACCAATGCACTTGAGATTTGGAGTGGATGTGCTTATTAAAGTGACACAAAAGAATGTAACCATTATCAATATAAACCATTGTCTGTCATTCTTTCGTTTCCTTTAGAACGAGATCCTCTTAAGCTATTAATAGTGAAATTAAATATTTAATATGAAATCTAAAACATTTTTCATATTTCAATAAGGCCATACTAAGCTCTAATATAAAATACTATGACATCCATTCTGCAAGGATAATGAAAAGTTTTTCTTCTCAATCTTGACGTGGCACATATTCTGAACCCAAACAATGAAATCTACGGTGTTTCATTTATTCTCTATGGCCTTTTGTAAAAACCTGTAACTTAGTAAAACCTGTTAAAACCTGTAAAAAGTAGCAAATTGTGAAGTAAAAAAAGTTACTGTGAATGCTATAGAGATTGTGTCGTTAACGAAAAAAAAAACGTGATGGAATTCTCAAAGAAAAGTGGTCATGTAAATATAGATTGTATAAAGTGTTTTCCGCATAGACTACTGTATCAATTCGCTTTATTAATAACCTAAAATTAATTTTGTCATTCACCTTTTATTCTTTTTTTAAATTTCTATTAATTCCGACCCCTCTTCTCCTGCTCTTCTTAAGTCTGCCCGGGTTCTCCTGCCCTGAGGCCGTCACTGCTTACTATGGAACTAGACTAAGAAAAGAAGAGATTGGTAAGTGTGGATGTAATATTGAACAACGGCCTTTAAAACAATCGAAACCTCCAGGCAACTGCAATATGTGCTTGACTGGAACAAAGCTACGTCACCGAATTCCAAATAATGAGAGACAGAGAATTGATTTCATTAATTGGAAAATATAAAACTAGACGAAAAAAGAACTCTACATTTATGTTTTCAACGAAATCGCGAGAAGCTCAGAAACGAAGGAGATCTATTCATCAGCAGGTTACCTAGAATTTACCAAGCATTCGTGTATCAAACCAGGTCCATATGGAGTTGAGTTCGTCAAAAACGAAACTTTTATACACTACTCTATAATGGGGCATACACATCCCTTTCGAGCCTTCCCTACAGCGAAAGACAAACAAGTGAATATCCCAGTTTACTGATCAAATACTGGATTTTAAGTTAAATGTTTTGCAAATTGTTATTTGAAGTATCATTTCTATGCATTTTGAAAACTGACTTTGTTCCTGTCATGATTTGATCATAAATAAGTTATGGATGTTAGTACAACATTTTTTTTGCTTTTACGTAACTAATACCCGTTTTTTAAAGTGATTAAAAAGCTGTAAGCTAGAAGTAAACGCTCTAAAAGGTTATTTGGCAGAAATGTGATAAAAAAAAATTACATAAAGCATTACATCTTTGTCGTAGGCCTGAAACTGAACCGAAAACATAATGCCAATAGAATATAAACTACGCAGTTTTTTTTGTCTCCTGAAAATTGTTCGTTTTGTTTTACAGGCTTTTGCAGTATTGCTGTCAATGAATTAAAAAAAAACTTAAATTTTAAATAAGAAACATCAGAAATAAGAGTGACTTGGAGACGGGCTCTAGAAGCACTGAGGACAAATTACAATATTTTCTGAAGGATACTTAGCTATGAGGTGTACGATTCTAGGAATCGTATGGTGAATGCAAGGGTTGGCGGTTCACTTGCTTTGCTTGTATTCCCACGAGCTGATACGTAGAACTAAGATAACAATGCTGAGGAAGTCGAATAATATTATTAGAAATAAAGCAAAATAAGACTTATTAGTTCTATATATATTTATATATTCGTTTTTTATTCCAAAAGTACCGTAAAAAGAGGAAACTTTACTCTTAGAGAAGGAGGAGTAACAATACTCCAAAATGGAATCACTTAATTTTTTACAAACTCCATTAAAAAAAGTATATATATATATATATATATATATATATATATATATATATATATATATATATTAAGTTGTTTCGGTTTCATCAAGAAGCCATTTTTATGAACTAATGCCCATTTTCGAAATAAAAGGTCCAAATCTGATTAGACGTAGATTGGACATTTATTATATGCTTTTAAAAGTATTTTGTTCAAGATTTCATGAACACATTTTCATTTTGTATTATTAGAAAGTGTAAGTTGTATATGTTCAGACAATGAGTATGACTTTAATTTAATATATGGCTGGAAGGCCGGGGCACTAATAAGCACCCTAGAAAAAAGTGTTGAAAGATTTCAGTACTGAGATCTGGGATCAGAGTACTAACAGATGGAGAAGAAACACCAATAAGGAATTGATTAAAGAAACTTGTCAATCAATATCCCATGATATGAAGACACGGAGGTTAAGATGGGTGGGGTATGTAGCTCGTAGCAATCCATCTGGAAGCCTCTACATAACAACGAATGCCTAAATAGAAGACAAAAGACCACGTGGAAGGCCATAAAGCAGATGGTTCGATAGAATAAACAAAGATGGAATAGAACTGCTTGCAGATACCTGGAAAGAAATAGCCCAAGACTGGCAGAGCTGGAGCAGGCTTGTTAAGGTGGCAAAAGATCTGCATGGTCTGTAATGCTCATAGAAGAAAGAAAACATACTTCAATTTAGATCTAATACAATATCAAAGAATCTCATTTCCAAATTTGTCAGGATAACAAAAATGTATACTTTTTAGGATGCTTAATGACTTTTCTCTGGACTCTCCAACATTATCTTATTATTATTTATAAACTAATATCGTCTAATTTTTAAAAAAGAAATTAGGAATCATAGTCATGTTTAAGGAGAAAATAGAACGAAATAAAAGCAAATAGTCCTTCAAACAAAATATATAGTAAATAAAGGAGACAGTTTGGGATGGCGGTCATAAATAGGCTAAATACTGCTAACTATTTTATTGAAAGCCAACGTTTCGACCCGACTTTGCAGGTCTTCTTCAAAGTCTTGCAGGTCTTCTTCTTGCTCTTCTCTAGAAGAAGACCTGCAAAGTCGGGTCGAAACGTCTGCTTTCAATAAAATAGTTTTACCACTATTTAGCCTATTTATGACCGCCACCCCGAACCATCTCCTTCCTTTATAATGCAACGGTCAACTATTAAATATTCAAAATATATAATACAATACATGTTATTTATCATGATAAACTAATTAAATATGAATTAAGTTTATGATTTGACCTAAAATGACTAAACAGCGAAAATAAGGAAATAAAATCTTTATCGATGATACAACAAATAATTTTTCTTTTGGGAGTGGTAATAAACGTTCTAAGAGTGGATATATATGTTTCAGGAAATCAGGATTTTGATTAGAAAAGATAATGCTCTATTGTGGTGTTCACATTCAAAATACAGCATCCAAATTATCTTTGATTAGCTCTTTTCTTAGCCGGTTACATCTTTGTCGTGAGAATGGTAATCTTGATCAATAATGGTTTATCACACACATGTAAAATACTTTCCTAGAAAAACATCCATTATATATATGTTTATATCTTAAATAAATAACGAATGGTTTAAATATTTATAGACTGGCTGTATATTAGTGGACAGGTGTGGAATAGGCTGTTCTCAAGCCAGATGGATCCAGGCCAGATGCGATTAAGAAACAATTCGCCATATCTTTGCTAAAGTTGGTTCGCTTCTTTGAATTTTCGTGTCGATTTACTGCTTCATATCTAGAAATAGAACTCAGATATGTTTTCAACAGTTCTTTTGAGTTACGATTATAATACATTCTGAAAATGTTTATTCAGTAGAGTTTGATTGTTGTGTGCCTGCTTGACTTGTCTGGTTCACTTGTAATTAGAAGTCATCTGATTATCAGAATTGGTTGCATAGAACCTTTACAAACCAACCCATTTCCCGTCTTTAACCGTTATCTAAGATGACAAAATGTTTATACGTTCAATGTAATCACTAAAAAATTTCAAATTTTCATTTGCAAATGAATCTACTTAATATGTGATTAACTTGTTCCACTGGAAAATATACATCCAGTTTAATATTTTTTTTTTTTTTGAAAAATAATACATTCTGCCGCATTGGAGGGCATTAATATTAAGGCTACATTAAACATTCACACAATATTTACATAAAAATGATAACATATGTAAAAAAAAAAGAGGAAAGAAAAAAATAGATAAAAGCTAATTGAAATTAAAATATATAAAACACATTCATATTAGCTAAATATACTATATACAATATTTACATTCGCCCAGAGGATTCCGAGTCATGCTTTGTCCCCCGAATGTGGAAGCCAAGGCAGAACCCCAGGAGATCCCAGTGCT